AGAAAGTTCAGTTCAACAACCAAAACCCAGTATATCTGCAGAGTTTAGTAATAAAGGCAAGATGGCTCAGGGAAATAGCTGTTGGCAGGGGAGTGGGGCTTGTGGCAGTCACTGCTACTGTTGTTGCCTACCCAATAATGAATTTAATCTTCTCGCTTACTTACAGAACCCCAACACTGCACAGCAACAATGTGCTCAGCCCAAAGTATGAGATTTGGCAGCTTCTTTTGCAGCTAAGAATGTCCATATGACAGAGTTATAGTTAAACAGATAGAAGTGGATGTCATTGGAGAGAATGCTCCATTCTCAATTAAAGGAAAGGCCTCTAAAGAAGATCCTTTGCCCCTAGGCTCCTCTTCCCCTAGTTCTTTCCCTCCTTCCTGTCTAGAATACAGACATGGAGCCCAGAACTTCGGCAGCTGTCTTCAGACCCCAAAGCAAAAACAAAGTGGATGAAAACCCACCTTAAGGATGGTGAAGATGAAAAGCCAGGGTCTTTTTCTTCCTTTTTTATTTTAAAGAGAAAAGAGCAAAAACAAAAAAACAAAACACAAAAACTATAGAAATGATATGGAATTTCAAAACAAGATGATAGGAAATCAACAATGGTTGTTGTATTACTTATTATTATCTTCAAATATTACCAGATGTAGGTATGCAAGATTTATCAAACAATTAAACATTAACTGCTCCTTTCAATAAACCAATAGAAAGTAGTAGTACATTTATCATATATATAAGATACACACACACACACATATATATATATATATCTCCCTCCTTTCTTTTCTCAAAAGCCAGGGTCCTTATGGCAATCTTGAACTACTATTGCAGCCCTAGACCATCTTTCAAGGGAATTTTTATTGAACAAAACAAATAAACCATCAGCACTTGGGTAGCTGAGGCAGGAGAATTCCTGCCAGTTCAAGGCCAGCCTGGGCTACATGATAAGTTCAAGACCAGTCTGGACTACACAGTGAGACCCTGTCTCAAAAACAAACAAAAGAACAAACAACCCTTTATCTGTTTAAGCTACAATTCTCAAGTCTATTATTTGTAGCTAAAAGCATTACTAACTGGCATAGGGTTATAAAAGGAAACCAAAGGATCCAAATGGAGGACAAACATGACTGGAGAAATCAGAAGGAAAAGTCATCTAGAAATACGAGTGGGCAGCTGGGACCAGAAGAGCGGTAGTGGGCTACAAGGCCTCAGCCCCTGGGTTGAGGTTCATAGTCAGAACTCCTTTTCTAGATGGTAAACTAAAAGAGCATGATGGAGCTTACACCTTGACAGGGGACAAATGCTCAGGCAGGGATACAGATATAGGACATGAGACAGAAGTGTAGAGATCATAAGTGGAGAATGAGGTAGAGGCTCAAAGGAAATTTGATATGAGACTCAGACCAACAGCTAAGAGACAGCTTGATGCTGAGTTCCATTGGAAAGGCTGGAGTTACTTCAATCCTTTTTTGTCTTAGCACAGGTGTAGCCTGCAGATAGGAAGAAAATTACTCTCACAGTGGAAGGAGGAAGGGACAGAGTAAGGAACCAAGCAGAGCCAGACAAGCTACAGTTCAAGCTGTGTTTTAGCTATCCTAACACTTTGCTTACAAGTTCTTAGATTCACCCTTAATTGTATGTACTTCTTTCCATCTTTTGCCCATGACCTTTAAAGATCTGGGCTTAGGTCTCTTTAAACAGCTTCCACTTTAAAATTTTCAATATTTCACTGTGGAAAACCTTCCCTTTCTCCTTCTACTCCAACTTACCTACTAAGGGTTCTTGTGGGTACCATTCCAGCGCAGTATGAGTCCCCTCGGGAGACATCCACCTTTATCCTCTGACTGTAGCCTCTGCTGGGGGTAGAGGGAGAGGGCAGGTACAGAGGAAAAGCGGGGAAGAAGGTTGACCAGGGCCTACCAATTCCAGGGAGCAGTGAGTCACTCTAGTCCCCCTCCTCACCTTGGCATTTCTGTTTCAGGCACTGATTAGAGGGCAATGCTTTCCCTGCCCCCATCCCAATTTCTTATGTTATCTAGAGCGAGAGAATGAGAGCCTCCTCTGACTGCTAGTGTGCTACCACTTCTTTGTGTGCAGCGGGTTCTGTGTGGGTAAGTTATTGTTATATTGTGCTCCTGTGATAAATGGACCTTTGTGAGACACTTTTCGCCCTGTGTGTGCTGGGGGAGTGGGAGGGAGTCCTGCCTGAGTGACTTCTCACAGAAAGCTCCAGAGGTGCTTAGTGCTGATAGCCTAGGCCTGGCAGGCTGCTCTTTCATTGGCACTCAAGAGTGTCAGTCACTGTGGCCCTGCCAATCAGCTCCAAACTAAGGTATCTGTAAGCGATTAGCCTTCTTTGTTAAACAGAACACTGAACCCTCCAAGGACTAAACAAAGAATGGCTCAGAAAAGACATTCCCTAGGTGGGCAGGGACAGTCGTGCCAGTGTCACTAACTGGAATCTTTTGGTTTTGCCCTCCTTCCTCAGACCTTGTCTCTATTTCTTACATCTAGGCCAGTCCTAGCTCCTTTCAGCTTTACTTCTTTCATTTTCCTCGCATGTGCATTTCTTCTCTCCACCCTCACTGTTGCTGCCTTTGTTCTGTCCTCAACACCTCTTACCTGGACTACTAACCAGTCTCCTAACCAATCTCCCTGCCTTCAGTCTCACCCCCTCCAACCCAATCTCCATGGTGTAGAGAAATCAATCTAAACATACAAATCTGATTGTCACATCCTCCTGAAAATGCTTCAACCTATTCCATGGTTCCAAATACCCCTGGGAAAAAGTACAAAGTACTTAGCATGGTGTCCAGGACCCTTCATGATTTGTCTCTTGACAAATCCTCAAGCTGCTCTTTCTCAGTGCTCCCACTTCACTCCTAGTCGTGATAAACTTTGCAGGTTTCTGAATGCGCCTTTTCTGGCTTTGCTTCTGGGACCTTTCAGGACTTCCGTCTGCCTGGGATATTCTTCACACAGCACTTTTTCTGCTGTCTGTCTGGCCAGGTCCCACTCATCCCTTAAGACTTCAACTAAACTTCTTCAGTCCAAAGAAATATGTTTTACTCATGTTTATGTCGCTAATGCTTAGTACAACACATGGGACAATAGATGTTTGAGAAATGAATGAATGAGTGCCCTACTTTCAGGGGCTGTATGCAAAATCATCTCTGAGGGAAGCTGGCAGAGCTGACTGATCCCTCCCTCTATGGAAGGGAGACTGCTTGTCAATATCATCTTGTTGCATTGGGTTGCAACAACTTTTATGTCTGCCTCCCCAACTCAACTCCTAGCATCTCAAGAGCACGGCTACGTTTGGTCCACTTCAGTGTCCTACCTACACCCTAGTGTAGTGCTTGAACACAATGAATGACTAGACCTCTCAAATGTTTGACAGTTTTATCCGTTGTCACCTCTGACTTTACTTCCCCACAGACTCTCTCCATCAATAGCTCCATAGCACTAAACTGTCACATTCACAGCTTCACAAACATTCAAAGCTGCTCCCCATCCCTGAAATGTTCTTCTGCATTCCTCTTACCTGGAATGCCCTTCCCACCCACCCAAATTCTGTAGTCTTTAGGAACTAGCTCCAAGTGTTCTTCCACAAACCCAGGGACACCACAAAGTCCCATGGTACTAGGAACTCAGAAGTACCCACCCCCATCTATCTCTCAGTAGTTCTATTACCGATCCTCACCCAGCTCATTTAACCCTTGGCATCTTCTGTTATTTAGGGGAAAACCAAGACTCAGAAAGGGAAAAGGACCTTACGCTTCCTTGTATAGACTATAATTTTCTTTAAGGCAGGACAATTGTCTTCCACCCCCTTCGTGTTTCCAAGGCCTTACTGGAGTGTTAGAGAACTCTAGAGTCAGACTGTCTGGGTTTTTATCTTGGCTGCACCTTAGACAATTTAACCACACTAAAGCCTTTCTCATATACAAATAAAGATGACAGTAGCGCCTATCTCACATGATTTTTGTGAAGATTAGATAAGTAATGTATGTATAAAGTGCCTAGAGCAGTATCCAGCACATAGCATGAGCTCAATAAAGGCTATTTTCTTTATTGTTATTATTCTTAACAAATCCTTGCTGGCAATAATTAGCTAAAAACTAGAACGGGAGAATTTCAGAGAGCAGGAAAGATGAGGAAAAGAAGTAGACCATAGGAGCAATCTGAGATTTTGAGGAGTCCAAACAAGGTTAGTGGCGCGGCAGGACGTTTGTACGTCCGAGTTTCTAGTACCATGTGACTCTGTGAGGGCCCCAAGCACATGGCTCCATCCCGGCGGCGCAGCTTCCCTAACTCTAGTCCAGTTTATTCCCAGTAGCCTGTAGGGGGAGCCAGGAAGCCAGGACAGGGTTAGGGGGAGGCTACTGGAAATCCTCCTAAGGACAAAAAAACGACACCCCGCCACTACTACCCGTCTTAGCCGGCTACCTTTGCCCCTTCCAGGACGCTCTCCAAACCCGGTCGTCCTCTGTAGCTAAACTGGGAGCTGTCCTTCAGCACCAGGGGCCACCTTGGCCTCAGGCAGGACAGTGAAGGCGACAGCAGAGTTAGGGACTCGGGACTGGTCCGATCCGCAGCCGGCTCCAGTGTCTCCTAGTCACGGGAATGGGGGAGGCGACCCAAGGAGGTAGCGAGACGCTATGGAGATGTCTCCTGTCTTCTGCCTCCAAGAATCACCCTCAGAAGACCCCAAGCCCTGGGGTGGGGGGAGCCTGCAGAGGGAGGTGGGCGCCCGGGTTGGTGGGGGAGGGGGAGCGCCTGGGCCGGGGACTCAGCATGTGGCTTGTGCACGGGGGGAGCGGGCGGACGAACGGAGGCGCTGAAGTGAATGGAGTTGGGGGTGGACTGAAAACATCCCCAAACAGCTCAGGCTGCAGCCGGCGGGGGCCGGGTGGTGTGGGGGGGGTAGTCCTGAGGCGCAGGCGCAGTCGGGGCCCCAGTCCCGCTCCCTCCTCCTCCCGGTGCCTCTTTCTCCGCCCCGCTCCCCCCAAACACACTCGCACTCGGGCTCTCAAGGTGTTCTCCGCACAGCGGAAGATGGCGACAGACTGAGGGGGCATGGCCAGCAGGAGGCACGGGGCCGTGCCGCGGGGCTGCCGCCACGGCGGTGCGAACGGGAGGCGGAAGCAAGAGGCGCGCTAAGTAAAGCCCAGTGTCCGCGTCCGGCGCCTGTGGCGCTGCCGGGAGCAAGGTGGCCCGCCCGAGCCGGAACTCCGGGAGCAGCGGGTGCCGAGCCAGTGCGGAGCCCGCCCGGGACCGGCCCCGGCAAACGGTCGGCGCTCGAGCAAAGCCCGAAGGGCCGGGCAGAGGACCGG